TAAGGAGTCTTTTGCAAACTTGAATGTGTCCTTTTCACCAAGAAACAATTAGAGCACTTAAAATTTTTTTTCAATCTCCAAAATTTTTCTCGACTTCCTCTTATATATTAGTACAAAAGGGTAACTCTCTAGCCACTGCATTGGTAAGTGTTATTCCTAATTTTATTAATTCTTAGATAGTTAGTTGGTGCAACTAATCATATGACCGATTGCTCTAAATTGTTTTCATCCTGTGGACTTGTGCAGGAAATAAAAATGTCAAAAATCGTTAATGATTTTCTCTCGATAATTGTTGGGATAGGAAATGTCAGACTCGCCCCATTGTTAACTCTTCATGATGCGTTTCATGTTCTCATTTTGTCTTGTAACTTGTTGTCCATTAATAAAATTACCTTTGACCATCAGTGTAAAGCTAATTTTTATCTTTTTTTGTTGTGGTTTTCAAGAATTGATCACTGCGAGATTAATTGGCAGTGCTAAGAAAAAAATTTGACTTTATTATTTTTAAGATGGACTTGATCCGAATAGAAATTGTCAATATAATTGTTTAAATTCTGTGTTTTTTTTCAAAGACGATGATATTATATTATGACATTATAAGTTAGGTCATCTTAGTTTTTAGTATTTAAATTTTTACTTAGTTTATTTCAAAATAAAAATTTGACCTCATTTGCAATGTAAAATTTGTCAGTTTGTTAAACATCATAATGCATTTCTTCCCAAACTTACAAACCAACTACATCGTTTACTTTGATTCATAGTGATATCTGTGGTCATTGTAATACTTTTACTTATTTTGAAAAAAAATGATTTGTGACATTTATTGATGATCACACAAGAATAAATTGTACTTTTTTCAATGAAAGAAAATTTGAAGTGGAAACTATTTTTAAAAATTTTTACACCATAATAAAAATATAATTTTTAAAAAATATTCAAATATTACGGAGTGATATTGACCGAGAATATTTCAAAATATTTCGAGTCAATTTTTTTTATACGAAGAATAATCCATGAAAGCTTGTATATCGACACTGCACAACAAAATGATCTAGCTGAAAAAAATACTTATTGGAAGTTGCTCGGGCATTGTTTTTTACCAATCATGTGCCAAAATATTTTTAGGGTGAAACCGATCGTACCGTTACGTTCCTCATAAATATAACACCCAATAAAGTCTTAAACTTTGGAACAAACAACTATTGATGTTTTTCATAAATTTATCTAACAACTCTTACTTTTAAAAATATTTGAATGTATTGTATTTGTTTACATTCATAATCATAATTAATAAAAACTTGAACTTTAAGCAAAAAAATGTTTGTTTATTGGTTATGCTTCTATTCAAAGTGGGTATAAATATTTTGATTTTATTTCAAAAAAAATATTTGTTACCATGGATGTCATCTTACAATCTTTTTTGTTTTTATCTTCAAGGGGGGAGGTAAAAAAAGGATTTGATTATTATTTTTCAAGATTTTTTTCAAACTAAAAATTTACAAAATATTACTTCCCCGGTCTTGATTGTTCAATCTGAAAATTCAAGTTATATTATATCAAGAGAAAGTGGGTCGAGTTTTAGATATCGAAGACGATTTTTGTTTTCCTATAACGTCATCTCATGATGCTCATGATCCTATAACAACTAATAAATAAAAACTAGGAAAAGAACTATGATTGTAGTACCATTTGATATTGTATATTCGCACGAGAGGACAACTTAAAAGAAAGGTTCTACGTACCTTTTGCACTACCCTGAATCCGTGAACCCATTCAAGTAATGTTCTCACCGAGTCTTTATCCCATATTTAGTCCACTTCATCTTCGATTATTGAATCTTCTAGTCCTAAAATTGAGCCTAGTTCTAATCCCAGGTCTAATGATTCTAATTCTTCCATTATTGTTTGTAGGGGGGTGAGGTCTTGCACCCAACATCTATTATCCCATTATGTGTCATGAAATCATTCACCCATTTTTTGTAATTTTACATTATAATTGTTTTATATGGAGATTTCTAATACGTGCAGGATGCTCTAAAATTATTAAGGAGTGTGTCTTCGAGGAGATGATAGCTATTAAAAAATGGTATGTGAGAATTAATTGATCTATCTAGAGTGAAGACACCTATAAGATGATAATGGGTGTTTACAGTCAAGTATACTTTTTATGACTCTCTAGAATGGTATAAGACTTGACTGGGTGTCAATGGATTCACTCATACCTATGATATTAATTACTTAGAAACATTCGCCTTAGTTGTAAAATAAAACTCTATAAGAGTTCTTCTATCATTTACATCTAATATTGAATAATCGTTACAAGAGTTGGATATAAAAATGCATTTCTCAACGGGGGCTTGTATGAAAAAGTGTACATGGATGCACTTCCAAGATTTAGTGAGAAGTTTGACACTAAAGTGTGTAAATTTAAAAAGCTTCACTGTCTGATTGTCTGTTCCATTTTTAGTTAACTCCAAGCCCGAGCCGGTCATGACAAAAGTGGTATCGGAGATTCTGAACCTCGCGTGCAGAGGTCAGTTTGCCTATAAATTGACGCGAGACAGAGGGAGAATGAGAGGTAGAAGCCAACCCTAACGACTTACTGGGAGAGTCGATCGACACAGATGGAGGACGGAATGTCTCGCGACTTCGGTGCTGGAGGAGGATAGCCCGTGCCCCGAACCGGATCATGAAAATTTTTTTTTATACGGGTTGAAGCAGTCACTGAGAGCATGATTGTGAAATTTATTTTGTTTGTTAAAGGTCAGGGGTATTATACTCGAGGGCAAGAAAATCTTACAATGTTCTTAAGACATTCAAAAGATGCATACTGATTGTGTATGTTGACAATACATTTCTCATTAAAGATGACATATATGAGATGAACCGTTTGAAGACTTCTCTCTCACCAGTTTTTGAGACCAATGACTTAGAATCTTTGAGGTCTGTCCTTTACATGAAGTCACTCAATCAAAGAAAAGGATTGTTGTTTCTCAATGGAAATATGTATCGATCTTCTTAAGGAAACTTGGATGAGTTTGTGTAGAATTGTAGACACTACAATTGATCTTAATAAAAAATTGGGTGAGATGGTAAAGAAGGTGATTTAGTGAATATATTTAGTTATTAAAAATTGGTGTGAAAGTTGATATACTTATCACATACATATTCATGTATTGTCTTTCTTGTGAGTTTGTTATGCATTCGCCCTATGAAAAACACTTTGAAACAATTAATAAGATTCTTTGATACCTAAAAAATACACCAGGCAAGGGTTTATTTTTAATAAGACCATACAACAAAACATAGACATACACTGATGCGGGCTGGGTTGGCTCAATTATTGATAAGAGATCGACATCCGAATATTGTACTTATGTTGGGGAATATTTGGTTACATAGTGGAGTAAGAAACATAATATGGTTGCAAGGAGTAGTGTCTAGGAAGAACATATAACTATGGCTAATAAAGTATGTGAGATGTTATGGTTAAAAAGAAACCTTGAAGAGGTTCTGATGTAGGACTCGGGGGAGGTCCGACCGGTCCTCAAGTGAGGGGGGGCTGCCGCCCATGATATGCTTAGAGTTGAGGGTCTTATATTTGAAATCTGAATTTAGGTTTTATCCTAGAGTTTTCCCCTTCAAAGGGTTGTATCCGGCGTCGAGGAAGTGCTCCGACTGTCCCTCGTCTAAGGTGGTGATCGTCTCCAAGGTTCTAAGTGGTGTTCTGGCTGTATCCAACCTCGTCGAGATATTTATCTGTCCACTCAGTTTTCCCTGCACCCTTGCAGGTTGCTGTCCGGCCTACTCCTGCATCTAGCAGGCCGCTGTCCTCTAATTTCCTGCTGCTACCGGCCCACCTTCCAACCCTACTGCAGGCCGTCACCACTCCTGCCCTCTGCTCAACAACAGTTGGCTGCTTCCTAGCCCGCCAAATCACCTCCAACTTCTCCCTGCACCCCTGCAGACTGCTGTCAAGCCCCCTTTTGTAGTCAGTAGGCTGCCGTCCTCTACTTTCCTGCTATCCTAATTGCTGTCCCGCTACTCCCAACTGCTGTCCACTTTCCCGGCTTTCTACTCCACCTTCCAACCAACCTTCACCTCCCTTAGGATATACTCCCGAGGTGTCCATTTGTGGCGTTTTGTATTTGGTGATGTTATCTCCAATTTGTGTGTGTTGTAACCCTCTTTTCCTATTAATAAAAGTTGCTTTTGTGGTTTGGTTTACTCCTCCGGTATCAGCTTCGCATCCTGATAAATATGTCAATGAAGTTATATTGTGATAATAAAACGGTCACAAGCATTGCAAAAAATTCAGTGCAACATGATTTCACAATGCCTGTGGAGATTGATAGACACTTCGATAAAAAAGATTGATTGGAGTTATTTAGTTGCCTTTTATTACGACCATACAACAAATAACAAATATCTCCCTCGAAGGACTTTTCATGTCTAATATGAGCTCTTTGAAAGCAAGTTGGACACGATGAATATCCATGCTCCAACTTGAGGGGGGTTGTTGGAATTTAAAGAATTTCTATTTTTAGTTTTCTTTTATTTTGAATATTTTCTATTTGTATAATTTTATATTGTTGGTAATTTCTAATTTATGTTTCTTTTTTTCTAAAACGAGGATTTGTGGCTTTTCTAATTTGGAAGTCTTCGTCTATTATTTATCTTGTAGAAATCTCTTATGAAATTGAAGAGGAATAAGTATCTTTTCCTGCTCCCAAAAAATTTCATCGTATTTTGTAAAATTTTATTGGACATTTGCAATCTTGTTATTATTGATCAAGCAGAAACTCTAATATCTGCTTTTATTTGAAGAAATAATGTTTTTGGTGTTATTAGTTACCGGTGATATGCGAATCATCAAATCATGATGCAAGTCAGTCTCTTTAATGATAATTTGTAATTCGTGTTCACGAACTTACATTCAAATTTGTTGCATAATTTGTCCGTCTCTTAAGCTCCAGCGTTTGAATATTTGGCTGGAAACAGATGCTCATCCTGATTCGGTCCTTTTTAGCTTTGGGATTGCTGAGCAGCCTGCTAGACAAGAAAAGATCCTGAAGCTTCTTTTCAGCGGGTACAATGAGGAAGACGGCATAGACACTTCATTGCTGTCTGATCTTATGGGACTTAAAACTGTGGCTATTGACACTCGTGATATGTTTTCCCGTTATGAGGTTGAAGCACACGATTCAGATCATCTTCTTCGCTCAGCAAGCCAATTTCACATCCCAATACCTCTTGCGGATTGTTCGAATGGTGCACATATTGCCGTACATCCCTATGATAGAATGCTGCTCTCACGTGTTGAGTCTGAGATCAAGGATCTACTATCAGTTGCTTCAGAATACAACATATTGAAGGGTTTTACTACAAGCAATAAGTCGTCAATGGTAGTCCCCTACTTTACAAGGTACTGTATAATTAAAATTCCCCTCTCTGATTCAATTCCTTAGAACTCTACACTTGGATTGCTTTTTGATAACCTGTAGGTGTTGGCTGATCTATTAAAGCATTTTTTTGAGTGTTATAATTTTGAGTTTCTGTCATGCATACCTGTGATAAATAAGTTTTTCTAATTTTAGTTTAGTTTTGTTTTTTTTTCCATTTGGTTTTATGTTTTGAGGGAGGAAAGATCTCCTTGATTGATTAGATATAGAGAGATAGTGGTCAATTGTCATGATCCAACCCTAAATTTTAAAATTTTAAGATAAAAATAGTTTGTCAGACTTTTTTTTAAGGGGATTTTACATAAAATAGCATATGAAACAATAAAATTTACATACCTCGCACCCAATTTTTTAAATTTACATATAGAGCACTCAAATTCTTCCAAACAGCTCAAATTCAACACATTTATTACTCTTGTCATCTTCTCGTTCTTCCTCCCGAAGTTCCCGCCTACCCTCCTCCTCAGCTGTTCACCTCTCGCCGCTCGCCCTATGCTGCACAATAGTCACTTTGGGTCCTCACCATCACTCTTCAAACCAACACCAAGCCCTCAAAACATGGGCTGATAATCCAACCTTCCAAAATTATAAACTGAGTAACACAAATAATAAAGAAACTCAAGCGAGATTGTAAAAATTAAAGTGGATCTCACCTCATGAAACCAAAATAAGCAATGAAAAAGAAAGAGCAGCCTTGATCAAAGTTTCTTTAGCATGCCAAAGGCAAATATTAAAGTCCCTGACCGGAGCATTTCCACTAGAACAAGTAAACGGGGGCTATTTTTTCCTACTCCCTTTTCTTGTTTAAAAAAATGCTGCTTTCCAGCTGGGTAATCTCAGAGCGACAATCTACAGGAAAAAACTAGTAAGAGTAGAAAAGAGACGAAAAAGATAACTATCACAAACCTTTGGATGCCATGATTAAAGAAGTTGGAGATTATGCGCTCGATTGGACTTGCATTGAAGCTGGCTACATTTATAGAAAACAGAGGGTTGTATGGACTTAAGGCAGTTATGGGAAGATTACAGACGAGAAGTTGATGGATTAATGAATGTGCTAAATTTGAGGTATTTAGAGGAATTTGAGTGTTCTATATGTAAATTTTAAAAATTGGGTGGGAGATACATAAATTTTATAGTTTTTCATGCTATGTATGTAAAATCCCCTTCTTTTAAATAACCTTAAGAAAATTTACAAAATATAGACCTTCAATTCTTAAAAGAGCCAACTAGATTAAAAGTATTGTAAGTCAGCATATAATACATATTTTAAATCATTTGCACAGAGGCCTAAGTTTGAATAATTCAATTTCAAATTAATTTTCAAATTCTGGGAACCTAAGTTGAATATTTTTGCACGTTCATGAATGCGTAATTGAATTAATTTTGCAAATTTATGAGCTCACATTTCAAATCATTTTTGGGATAGTTACATACATAGCACCCGAAACATTGCTATTTACAAAATCTAGCACCCGGGTGATATTTTTAAACTACTAAACTGATGTATTTATACATTCCACGATCAAATCATTGAGAATTTGATAAAATTGGAAAATATGGGTTAGGTTTTTATCATGAATTTTGGCATTTTAGTGAGAATTTGAAAATTGGATGAAAGAGGGTACTAGATTGTAAATAACAATGTTTCAGATAACATGTATTTAATCAGCCTATCATTTTTAATTGGTCAAGTAAGTTCACATTTCAAAATCATTTGAAATCCAAATTCACATATTTAAATTATTTACAAGTCCTTAGAGCTGACATTTTAAAAATCCATATTCAAATTATTTTTAAGCTCTAAGGGCCTAAATTTTAAAAGTTTAGATTCAAATTATCTTCAAGTTCAAGTGATTCACATTTTAAATTATTTTACAAGTTTGAATAGTGTAAAAGTTTTAAGTTATTTACAAGTCCAAGTCATTCGAAAATTTAGCAGCCTCCGAACATCAATCCCTATACGGGAGAATGTAACATTCCCAACTATTTTAAAAGACTCGCTAATCAGTGTGTGAGATACTGTGGTTTGGGAACAAAAAAGACATTATATTATAGGTCTTTGATGTACATACAAAAAGGATAATTAGGATCATAAATTTCATTAAATAGGTACTTTATTGTCCCAGAACGATACTTAATTCCCTCGATGGGTACTCATGTTTCTCAGGACGAGTACTTGAATCCCCTGATTTTTATAAAAAAATTTCCAAACGAGTTTGTTATTTCTCTGAACGGTACTCAATTTGCAAGTGCAAGTACTCAAGCTTCCTCACATGAATATTTTGAAAATTATCTTCCCACAACCACAACGACAACGGTTATGGGCATGGAGCTGACTTTTTACTTCAAACTAGAGAAGCGCAGACAGTTATGGGCATGGAGCGGGAGCAGACATACAAGTGACTTAATATTGTTATGTTTAATTAAACCTAATTAATAACAAAAATGATTTTTAATAAAATTTAATGCCAACAATAATATGGGGGGGTGACTCAATCATCTGCATGTTCATGCAATCATTCTTACATAACTTATTGTTTTGCATTTCTCTCACCATGTATTTACTTAATAACCGTTTGGGTTGAAACGAGATTGATTTGGGCTACATAGGGTCTATTAGATTTAAATGAAGTGGATAAAAGTTCTTATGCTAACCTAACTAGTAAACTTTTAATATTGCCTTTTGCATTGTTTGGCTTGCTCGCAGTTAAATAAATAAAATTTTTATGGTTTAAAATTGCGTGATTAGACATTGTTTGTTTGTGAGGTTAGACAAACTTCGAGACATTTTGAGGCGTAAACCTTTGACTTAACAAATTGCACAAAATAATAGGTATTAGACTGACAATAAAGTATTAAGAAGTGACATTAAAATCCTAATATCAAATTGTAAGAAATGTAAAATACATGTCAAAGAAAGATTACATATGAAAGTAATAACATAATATGTCAAATTAAGTTCAACAAAATAAGCCTCTATTGTTTTTTCTTTTCCAAATCAAAGTATGAATCAATCGGAACAATGTTTGTGGTTTGAATTTTGTTCAAGCAAGGTGGTTTTGATTGAATTATGTTTGAATTAGATTCGACCCAAGTTCAAATTTGAATATGTTCACCCGATTCCAAATACCTCTACTTTAAAGAGCAATTCGTGAATGCAAAAATGTTCTCTCATTAGAGGTAATTTGATTGAATTGCACCTACAGGCATATTTCCCCAAAAGAGACAAACATGAGAGCTTTTTTTATTTTCACAATTATGAGCGACATAAAATTTAATTTCTTAATAATAACAGGGTTTAGTTGATATATTCAATTTATATTTATTTTAAAAAATGAACCTGAACTTATAAATTCGAGACATATGTGTCCTAAATGTTGAGGCGAGGCGCACTTTGATATGTGCCTCACACACTGTAAAGTATATGCCTCTTAGAAAAATATTTTACTATCAATCTGGTGAGTAAAATAAATGCTTATTATTGTTGGTATATGCTATTTGTAGATGATAAACTTTGATGGGTGGGGACTCTTTCATTGAAATAAGTGAATAGTTCGAACAATTATGGTAATTGTTTGCCAATATTGTTGGGTTACTAAGTGATACATAGGGGAGATAAGTTAAGTGATATGGATTTTATATACAAAACAATATATACATGTATAGATGATGACACTTCTAAATTTAAAACACGAGTGGTTGAACTGGACAAGTATCCATTGTACTAGGTTATGATATAGTATATTTGAAACTTAAAAATTCAGTTTTTATACTATTACAATTGGTGGTCAATGCTATATGGATTTGAGAATTCGGTAATAAAGAAGTTATTGATAATAGCTAAATTTTATTTGATTTGTATGTGTATATATTGATGAATTTGTGAGAAACTATAAAGAAAGTTGGAAATAATTATATTAAAGAAATAATTGGAATAACCTATGTTTGTGGAGTTAGGCTTATCTTTTGTGGTTAAACATATAATGGAGGTGATATTGGAGTTAACCCAACCCTCTACGAAATGAAAATATTATTATTGAAATTCAAATGAGGTACAAACAAATACTCTAAAAAATAGGAAACAACGACACAAACACAAGGGACACCCTAAGGCGCGAATGAAGTAGTGGGGTGCGAGTTGAGATAGTGGAAACAGAGAGTTGTATGTGGTAGGAAGGTTTGGTAGCAGCAAGGGGGAGGGAGTCGTGCGGGTGGACAGTGGGTAAAGGAGGATAGTTAGGGACGTCAACAAACAGGTTGGCTGTGGGGGACGTGCGGCCATAAGCATTAGGAGGTCGTAGGCGTTCGCGACAGTAAACATGGAGCAGGAGAAGCGGCAACAAACAGGAGGGTGCATATAAATACTAGTAGATGGCTAGGAGAGGTGGGACCCCTTCTATTTGGGAGGGAGGCAACCCTATTTTCTTCCGTCAGTTTCATCCCAGTTGAACCGGTTTAGCCTCCAGAGGCAATGTTCGGTTCAGCCAGGAAAGCACTGCGTCAGTCTCTTGAAGTCGGGGGAGCTTTGACTTCATTTATTGAAGTTTCTATCTGCTCGTTGTCGTTGATGGAGCTGTTGTAACCTCTCGGGGCTGAGGGTTCTTCGACTGCTGCTATGACTACACTGTCACCCAAAACATTTAAGGAGCCTTCCCTATTTGTGAGCAACTATCCAGCTTCAACCCTAAACCCGTTAAGGAAATCATGTTCGATAGCTTACTGCATGGTAGCCACCATTCATAGAGATTTAAGCTACCTCACCTTTAGGTCGAGCTAGCTTCGGATACTTTGGGAGGATTCAACTGTCTTATGGTTGAAGCTGGCTCCACTGTCTCGCTATTCCCTGAGCCTCTGTCACCTCGAACTCTGCATAAAGTAAGAGAACGATGTGCTTTACATCCTTAGTGAATGAGTGAGTGTTTCTATATTCGTCATATTGAGTCCTACAATCATTTTGTCATGGACTCCCAGGAAAATGTGACAGACATCTATGGGCACCACATTGCACCAAACCTCATCCTGCAGCTGGCTCCCAATCGAAAACTCCACAAAACACCTTCTATCAATGCTAAGCTTGTTCTGATTCTTCAACCACTTTAGGGAGTACGGTTAAGAATGCCTCTGAGTTGTGAGGCTCAATCTGTCCACAATCAGTGTTAGGCCACATTTTTTCTGCTACCTCCATCGATGGTGATCTTGCATACCTTTTCCTTCATGATGCAACAAGTGTATAATATATTATGATGAAGCCATTATTGCTCACTTAGTTCCTCGGTCTGAAGGACTTGTGGAACCGCAAGCCTCTCACCCTCATCTGGTGGAAGCTGATACTCCTTACTATTTTCTTTAGTTGTTTCTTCGTCGTTAACTTCTTCCACTGTACTCTTCTCGGTAAAGGACATAACTTGGCTCTTCGGGCAACTAGAGGAAGTGCGCCCAAATCCAGGGCATCTAAAGCATTTTATGGATGATTCTGTTGTGAGCGTTCTACTCTTCTTAGGCTTCTTCTCATTTTGAGCGACTTTATCTTTATCCTGACCAGTCTTCCTAAGTCCCTGAGGTGTGCACTTACTGATATCTCCAATTGCTGGAGGCTATCTGAATGACAATAATTGTCTCCTTTGTTTTTGTTGTCTCTCTATTTTTAATGCTAAGATCTGGATATCTCCTAGTGATCAATAGGGTTGCAGTTAAACTATATTATTGATATTTGGCTTTAGACCCCCTATATATTGGACTATGGTATGTTCTTCTGGCTCGATCAACTCACATTTTATATGCAACTTGTTAAATTATGTCGTGAACTCTTCCATTGATAGGTTTCTCTGTTATAGGTGGTGAAGCCTTAGAAACATATCTTAACGGTAGTGAGGAGGTAAGTATTTTTTCTACATCTCATTTCTCATCTTCTCCCATCTAGTAATCTTGTCATTTTCTTTTCTCTTTCTTTGGCTATGCAAGTTTTCGCGCCACAAGGAAGTGCTCTTATTTCAATTTGATAGCTGCAAGCTTCACCCTCTTGTCTTCTGGCGCTTCTTTGTGCTCGAATATTCTCTCGACCGACTGCAACCATTCGATGCAATCCGTTGAACTCTTGAAGAACCACTTTTACTCCAAAACCTCTATATTATCCATTTTGCCTCCTCTCTCAACTTCCTCTGATGATAAATTCTGAAGTGTCGTAGTCTGTCCTCTTCATCACTGAAGACCTCCCTATGGAAAGGGTTCAAAATCTCATCCATTTCCCCTCTTCGACTTTCCCTATCTCGATCAAGCGTAATTTCTCCCTAGGTCTCGCCATCAATCTCCACGAGCCTTGGCTGAAGTCAACGGATATCTTACTATATTTCTACCCGAGTAGGTTCCGACATGTTTTTTCTTGATTGCATAATTAGGATCTGGGCTTGTGGAATTGGCAGAGGGTATTTGAGGATAAGAAAGAATTTTTTTGGAGTGGATATAGTTTGGGTATGGTGATGCTAGAAACCCTAGGATGAGACTAGGGTTAGGCCCCTAAGGAGAGGACGGAGTAGTGGGCTGCTGGTCAAAGCTAGCAGAAACAGAGAGTTGTAGGTGGTAGGTAAGTTTGGCTGCAACAGGGGGAAGTTATGCGACTGGACATCGGGTGAAGGTGGATAGGTAGGGGCGGCAACAAGTAGGTTGGCAATGGGGACGTGTGACCAATGTAGCAGGAGGTTGGAGGAGCAAACTTGAAGGAGCAGAAGAGGGACAAAAAACAGGAGGATGTGCAGGGAGGGCAACAACAAGAAGACAGGGGGATGGGGGAAGAGATAAGTGATGATAATCACCAACTTGAAGTAGGATTCATCCGGAGCACCACCTGTCATCAGATACAAAAAGAGAAAAGACATCGACTGTAGAAAAGTTTAAAGCAAAAATGGAACCCCTAAAACACAAAAAACACACATAAATACTAATAGATAGCTAGGAAAGGTGGGACCCCACCTATTTGGGCGACAACCCTATTTCCTAGTGTCGGCCGACCCTATTTCCCTTCTAGCTGAACTGGTTCAATCTTTAGGGGCAGCACTCGGTTCAGCCAGGAAAGCCCCGCGTCAGTTAACTCAAACCGCAACGGAATGAAAATATTATTACTGAAATTTAAAGGGTTACAAATAAAAACTCTTAAAAATAGGAAAACGACACAAACACAAGAGATGCCCTAGGCCGAGAAGTAGTGGGCTGCTGGTCGAGCTAGATAAAATGAGGAGTTGTACGTGGTAAGGAGGCCTGGCGACAGCAAAGGAAAGGGAGTGGTGCGGCTGAGCAGCGGGTAAAGGAGGATGGTTAGGGGCGGCAGTAAGAATGTTTTCTGTGACCACAAGTAGCAGGAGGTTGGAGTAGGTTGCGTTAGCAAAAAGGAGGAGAAGCACGACAGCAAATAGGATGGTGCGCAAGGAGGGCAGTAGCAAGTAAGCAGGGGGACGGGGGAAAGAGATAAGCGAAGGTAATCACCACCTAGGAGCAGAATATAGCCGGAGTACCACCCGTCCTCGAATACAACTCTGGTAAGGGAAAAAAACGCCGACGACAGAAAAGTTTGAAGTAAAAACTGGACCCTAAAACACAGAAAACACACAAATACTAATATATAACTAGGAGAGGTGTACCCCCCTTCTATTTGGGCGGCAGCTCTGTTTCCTAGGGTCGATCGGCCCTATTTCTTAGCAGAACCTATTCAGCCTCCATGGGCAGCATCCAGTTTAGCCAGGAAAGCCTCGTATCAGGAGGATATGAGATGCACCATCGTTGTGAGTATATTTAATATGAATGAAGTTTTAATTTAAAATTGGTTGACTAAAAGAAATTATTTCTAGAAGTTATCCAAAAATTTGTACAAAATATAGCTAATATCTCATTTTGGACAAGATTAGATGGAGAATTCGTGAATCCAAGCCTGACTAGTTGGGATAAGAGCAATTATGTGATGCACCATAGATATTCCTTCTAATCAGTCACGTGTAAATCTAGTATACTCAAAGTGGGTGGATGCACCAAAGGAATAAAAGCTACTAATTACTATGTTTCAAACGAAAATGGTGTATAGGAGGACAGTATATTTCAGACTAGTATCAGTGAAATCATGCATCTTGCCATATATTAAGGAAATGTTTTTTTGTGGCCAATTGTTACGAAACCTAATTTTGAAATCAATATAGGCTAGGTAATCCTACTGAGTGTTTGTTTTCTACTTCAAAGCTGTTTAGAAAATTCACAATTTTCTTCTTGGGAGGTTTGGGAATATCTGCTGAAATCATTTGAACTTCATTTTCTTAGAGAGTTCGTTTCATATATATCACTGTGAACCAGTTTATATTTTTCTCTTCATTTGCAGTGAACATCTGCTTTAAAATCTTGAGTATCTCATTCTAAAATAGTCCAAGTTCTCATGTTGCTTTTGAAGATAGAACCATGTTTTGACAAATGATGAATTTAATGGAATCTGTCATTTGGTTGGATGTGGTTTATAAATAAATAATACAAGAGTTCTCAAATGTGGTGATTTTATTTTGACTTTAAATGGGTGAAAGCAAATGAGCGCCAAAATGCATCGCGATTCTGTTGAGTACTTGGGTTACTCAGCGCTGTATTTTAAAGCTAGAAAATTGAGTCCGAGGTTTACGTTGGTAAAACCTTTTAAAATTGCTCACCATAAATGTACCTCTCTTGAGTTAAGGGTTAGTCATCGATTACCATTTACTGGTGTTTGTGATCCTACTTTATGGTGGTAGTTCATTACCAGATGTCTAGATTTCAACGTGAAAGTAACTAGGGGTTTTTTTTATTAACTAGGCAGTAGCAGTTTCTTTTATAAATTTATTACTTTTAAATTTTTTTCTGGTTGATTCCTCGCTTGTTGCTTTATAACTGTTTTACTCGCAAAAAATTGAAGAATAACATGTCTGTTGTAGCACTGATTTCATTCTACTGTGTCTTAGATCTCGTGGTGGACATGCAAGAAATAATAGTCAAGGATCAGTGTTATCAAATCAAACGGTAGCTCCATCAAAGAGGTACACTTTTGTTTTAGTATTTGCAAGTAAAGCTCCATAAAAAAGATGCATTTTTGTTGTAGTATTTGCTGGGCATAATTTTCAGGAGGTTGTCATGATTGTGTGTGCAATTATATTTCGCGGCATATAAAAAGTATTATTTATGTAGATGCTTAGAATGCTAGTATGTGTTTTTTGCAGATGATATAATTCCAATTAATGAGACATTTATTAATTGGTGAAAAATTAGAACAATTTACGGAATATTTAGAAGATAAATGCATTAAAATTAGTAAAATAAATATCAAGTATATGTTGTGTCATATAGTGTCATGTTAAACATTATCATTCAATATTATTAGAAAATTAGGTGATACCTAATTGTGCTATGTTTAGCTTGGATCTATTTATTACATAGAAAACTGAATGCATGCTTAATGATTTAACTTCTAGAGTTAATACAAAATGGCTACATTAGAGAAGTGTTTTGGGATTTTTGTGTGATAGCATACAGGTAAATTTTATAAAATCACAGTTAGGTTGAAGTTGGGTGTGGTAGAAATATTGAGTGAAAAAATCATTAAATTTAGGTTGAGTGTAACAGAAATGAGAATATTAAAATAGATGTATGGAAAAAATAGGAATGATAAATTAATAAATCATTATGTTAAAGTAAACACTATTATGATATATATTAAAACTAAGGTGACTAAATAGTCTTTAGTAGTTTGGACAAGTATGATGAAGGGTAGAAAATGCGTCTATTATTGAGTTGACAAAATTAGTTTTAAAGGAGTAGGAAGGCAAAGTTATAAACCTGAGTTGACATGGATGGATGTTGTTCCAAATAATTTGTGAATATAATATTAAGGCCTCCAAAGAAAAGAAAAGAAAAATGAGGATTCATAACATCAATATCAAATAGTTGGGATTTGATGATAATGAACAATGTGGGCTTCAAAAATTTGACTCGGACTCTTTATGATATTGAGAGTTTTTTTTTTTGTTTCGGGTCAAAATTTCAAAAGGCAGATTGCATTGTAGATAAGACACTACCCAGAGATTTTTCCCTCATTTTGTAGGACTCTTTGATATGGGGTTCGAGGTTTTTCATAGGTGCAGCCCCTATGGTTAATTACCCTTCTCGATAACGGGAGAGTACTTTTGATTAAGTATAGTCATTAATCACTAAATAATCAACATATAATAGCAACATATTTATGGTTTAAGTTATAAAAGTTATCACCTTGAGTTTAAAGCTGATGGTGGGGGAAATGATGATGAATTCGATCAAGCTCCCATAGTTTCGTAGTCCTGGGTCGTCATGGTCCCTGAGCTACTTTGCCGAGGTAGTAGTCGAAAAGTGCTCTGTCGAAATTGCTACCCTAAGTGTTAAGAGTATTGACTCAAATTTCAAAATATTGCTTATGACTTGGGAAATAGCCTTGAAATTTGTACACTTTGAAATGATTTTGGAACTTGGGAAATTGCAAATATTGTGATTTTGTACTACACAATTTTAATTTGGGCTTAAAAATGATTCGTCATGTGTTCGCTAATACATGATATATTGTGAATTCAGTTATGAGTTTTTAAATTTCAAAAGCTCTGAATTTAATTAGTTTCTTAACTCTTGTCACGATCAGACTCGGAATTTGGAAGTAACCAAGACGGGTACAGACCATCGGTCGGCGAAAATTATTAAACTATTCTATAACTAACATTTTAATATATGAAAGAGCAATTGAAAATGAATTAAAGCAATACAATTAATTTTTACCTCATTTATGGTTGACCGCATTTTCTATAATATTTTTTTTCTGTTATTGTTCATCTTTTAATCAAATAAATTAAATCTAAAAAATTAGTTTAAAATAATAGTAAATTAAATAGAGTTAGTGAATACTCATACTTCTAAACTATAATAATTTAATAAAAATGGAGACATGTATGCCAATTAAATTTTATATAAAAATTATATGGGTATTTGACATTTTGTACTATCTAATATAATCTTTTAAGGTGATTTTAAAATTCCACTTAATCTTATTATATCGTTTACATATCAATATTTTTTAATCTATATATATACATCACAGGAGCATCATCTAAAATTATACCATTTAAGATACTTCAATATTAATATTCTTTTTCATTTGCGTGCAAGATTACCTTAGCGTTTCCCCACTAGTATCACAAAGTGGTGGCTCTATAGTCAACCATGCACATGCAAACAATCAAAATAGTAAATCACATTATTAGTATTTTTTTTTCATTTCATTCAATAACATGAATCTTGCATTTACATGACATGCAAATATCAATGACATCACTCAATAAAATCAATTGAACTTAACGAGCTAGTAAAATATATCTAAGCAAGTCATAGAGAATTAAATTTAGAATAAATCAAATATTACTACGATTTAAAAGTATAAATTTCACCTCTATCATAGATAATCTAGTTGCTCTTCTATCTCCTATTTAAGATAAACGCCTATAAAATATAAAATATTTAATTAACAATTTACTTAATTATGATTCTAATTATTTTTAATTATTATAGTATTTCATTATTTTAATTAAGTTTTTTTTAAATACTTAAATTTTAAGTTTAATCATTGCAATTAATATTTATATTTAATATTGTATAAAATATTTTTGAGAAAAAAAACTCTAGACTTCCTTTATTTTCGTCAACCCCTTTTTCAGATCCAATTATGATTATATTAAATTCTTATTTTTATTATTTAATTAAAATCCTTACCTCTCCCAACAACTCGGTTCGGCTCGGTTCCCAAGAGATTTCTTCTTCCTTTCCACGTTGTCTCCTCCCCCTCCTCTCCTCTGTAAGAAAATTTTTATCATTTTTCCTCTGCACACGAGCACAATGGAGAAGTCTCCTCCTTCCTTGCTTCGGTCGTGACTCAACCCACGCAAGCACCCACAAAGAAAGATCTTCCTCCTTGATAACAACTCAACCTAGAACATTTCACGGAGTTCGTCCTCCTTCTTGACCACGAGCCACAAGCACTCACACAAAATGCGTTAAAGTTGAACATTTTAATTTTTGTAAAAGAGAATGAATCTGCTCTCCATTATCGGATACTATACCGGTAAAATGTTATAAAATATTTATAATTAATTAATAAACAACATCAGTATTTTTTTTTTATTAGGATTTCTTATTATTATAGGACTTAAAAATTCTTCTTTTTGTTCTTGAGTTAGATAATTATCCCACCAACCTTTGAGAAGACCAGTGAATCCACATGTTAACTGAGTTACGATTTGATGTGCACGATTACTATAACTCTGAGCAGCAGAGACATAAATCATTATTCATTGGAATACAATTTGTATTTAACGATCAGTCATACCGTCACTCTCTCATTAATATATATTTGATGAATTATAGTCATTTTGATTTTATTTTCTTCTTCATATAAAACATCAGTATGAGTAGATCAAGAGTAGTAATATCTACTCATCCATCGAGTTTAATGTGAAGATGAGATTTTATTGCCTTTTAATTTATGTATTTAGAAGAATTCTTATTCTAAATTATTATCTTGAAATTATTCTTCAATTTGTTCAAATTTAATCTTATCATTATCAGAATTTTCTCATTGATCATTTAATTGAGCATTTTTATTAAATGTCATAATTTTAGTATCTTTTATGTTTTTAATTAATTTTTCAAAATCCCGAGCCGACAGTTCTAAGTGGAAATTAAGACTGTGAGTTGGATATATAGCAGGAGCTGAAGAAATAATTGTTAAACTTACTTTCTTTTTATTTTTAGTTTTTAAAGAGAAAATAAATTTGTCTATTTTATTTTTTAGTTTCATTAAGTGATTTGAAATCAAAGATAGATTAGTATTTATTAAATTTAATTGTTTAATTAAACCAATAAAATTTTTGGTGGCATTAGTTTCTAGAGTTTTTCTAAAAGCATTTTATTCAAAATTTGGATTTCTATTATTTAGATCTATTACTGTTGGAACAGTTGGAGGATAAATAGATTTCATTATTTCTCCATAATTAATTTTCCAGTTTTTGGTTAACATGTCAAATTCATGTAATGTTTTTGGATATTTGATTACTAAACTATGTTAAAAATTAAAGATTTTTTTTTTCATAGAATCTGTTTTCATTTTCTTCAAAATAAATTTCAAAAAATTTTCTTCAAAATAAAATTCAGAAAATTTTCTTCTATCTTCCATAATATAACTTCGATACCAATTTCTTAATGAGTCATATTTAGGTTGTAGATAATCAGTGTTTAAAGTTTGTCTGATTTATTTTTTAGCGAATTCTTTAAATTCAATCTTTATTAAAATTAAAACTAGCTTTCGATTGCGAAGAAATGTTTTCTACCCTAGTTTGGTGTAATAGATTATTACTTGATAGATTTATTCGTTCTATTCATTGATTTATTGATGAAAGTTCATCAGAATCATTGTGAGAAATATTTGAACAGAGATAAGATATTCGTAGAAGAGTAATGGATCTTCTCAATCTTATCAGAACGTCTCCGTTAGTATCCCGACTAACTTGTTCTACATCGTTATTTATTACAATATGAGAATTAATAGCAGTTGGTAACTGCCGCGACTCAGGGAAGCTTCATCCCATTTTTTTGTCCTATTAGTTGCTATATTTGAAGCCTATAGATTAGTTTCTACTATTGTAGTTCTATCCTTAGTTTTCATATTATATTTGATATTTGGGCATAAAGTATTTATAATTTTAAAATGAATTCATAGATTATTGCTATTATTTCACATCTAGATAAAAATTTATACCTCTGCACTTTGATTTGTATTTTAGCTGCTTCAAAGAGATTTATGTCTGTAAGTGACTTACTTAAATTTTGAAAAAAGTGTTAAAAAAACTTACCGATGACACAGACTAGTTTTCATAACTTCCATTAACTATTGTGACCAATTCAGGCATTTTGCATCTCTTAAGCAAGCTAAAATTGAAGTGTTTAATTCTCGTAGTGTTAGAGGTTTAAATATTACTTGAATTAGCCCTATGTGAATATATTTATAATTTTTTAAGTAACTTTTTAAATCTTTTTGATTTAATAGAGAAATCATTTTCTCTTGTTCGTCTATTGTTAATGATTGTTCAACAGTTTTAATTGATGATTTACTTTTAAAATCAAAGGTTCCGATCTTATAGATTAGAGACTTTTTCACCTTATGAATATATAATCCTCAATCTAAAAAAAATATATACGTAATTTACCTTCACAATCATTCCCTCATAATATAAGATTTCAATTTGAAAACATAGATTGCAATAAGTTGTATCTTTCTCATTTATTTCCTTGCTCTATACTTCAAAACATCATGCTCATAATATAAGATTTCAATTTGAAAACATAGATTGCAATAACTTGTATCTTTCTCATTTATTTCTTTGCTCTATAATTCAAAACATCATTCTGTTTCTCCATCACATAAACATTCAGCTCCGAAAACATCAAACTTAAACCATCGCCGAAGAAGAAGCAGGGCAAGAATGCGGTGAAGGAGAGAGATCATCACGAGAAGAGCTACTTTCGTGCCTGCGAAATTCTCCTCTCCGTTGTCATCAACACGAAGAGCAGCCACACGGTTATCCTTTCACTGAAGAAATCGGCCCCGGAAATAACCCAACTCCTGTCCCAATTCTCTGCCAGCATTGCCGGAACCGGCCTCGCCGTCCTCTTATCGGTAGCATGCAAGACTCCGGCTGGAAGAATGCCGTTCAACTCAGCCAAGGTTCTGAACGTAGGAGTTGGTATAGGATTCTTCTGGCTTTCATGGGCTGTCAATGGGTTGCGAGAGACCATTTCTGAGATCAGCAGGAGCTCACAAAAAATTAAACTTACAGAGGAGGAGATAATTGGGAGGGTGGATGGAAGCGTGAATGAAGTTCTTTTCAAAGCTCTGGCTTTGTTAGCCATGGTTTTCTTGAGGTTTGCGTAGTTTTGAGGTTTTTTTCTTCTTACCTTCAAGTCCTATAGGATTTTTGGTGTGTAAATTTTGATATTGTATGGATTTGATTGTAAATATTTGTACATTTTGGAATCTATGACTTGGATTGTATCTGCTCTTTTTTATTAAGGGGCTTTTACATGCATACCGCACGATACTGTTCGTGTATTCGAGTATCTAACACCGAAATATTAATTTTTGCATTTATAATTATGAAATCCTTAGTATTAAATATTGATAATATAAATGTAAAAATCAAAGTTGAAGTGCGAGAATGGAAAAATCATTCCATCAGGACACCAAACGTAAAATTTGCATTCGAAATATAGTGTACATGTGCCACATGACAAGTGAGCCCCATCCTTCTAAAAAACCAACAATCAGTGTATTACAATAGAGCTGACGTGCTGTAGCAATTGCCTATTAAACTCCACATGCAAATTTACATCTGGTGCCCTGATTAAATAAACGCTCTCGCTAGAATGTGAATGCATAAATTCTTCTTATTAATTACAAATGCTTGCCGCTTATAATTTATGTAGTATTAGTTGAAAGAAAACAAAAAAAATGCTCTTATTATTAGTATTTGCTCTTGCAAGTGCTTATTGGACTCCAGACTTTGTTTTTTTAATGTTTAATATTTTGAAAAAAAAATTATAATTTATTTAAAAAATATGCTTATATATATAAAGTTTCCCTCAATCACTCTTTTCGTATTATGCTCACTGATAAAGTCCCCTATCCAACGAGGAATTATTGCGTACGGACACCGCATGCAGCCGCATGCATCTCTGCATGCGGTGTCCGATCCTGGCCGTAGATCACGGTGATCTACAGTCAGGATTATTTCTGTTTATTTTCAAAAAAAAAAAAGAAATTTAGGTGGGATCCACCGAAATATATCGGGACTATAGATCATGTGATTTACGGTCCGGATCGGACACCGATCTATATGGAATAATTTTTCCTATCCAACACTTGGCCAGAATCTACTAACATCATGCCCATATTCATCCCAACAATAATCACAGGGCATTTGCATACATGCCACCCAATTCATATGCATTTACATGTCCAACACCTAAAGTTCTTTATATTTATACCGCCCAAATCTTTCATATCACAGACAAAGATTCCACCATTTTTAACTTGTAAAAACTGAAATTGCATCTTTTTCATCAATAGCTAAGGCGGTATGTATGTAAATCTTCCATTTACAGATTTATCACAATTCAAATATATTATAGACCTGGAACCAATCTATGCTTAAGAAACCAACAATGCTTTCAAATTATACAAAATAAATAAATACGTTGCTCTATGCATTGAAGCCATACCCATACGTGACAATGGAGGAGGAAAGAGACCTTCAGTTTTAAACTGTTAATGGCGGTTACAATGATGGATCAAATTTGGATAGCTCTGCGTACATTGCAGTAATTACTGTTGCAAAGTAGGCCTTTGCCCGTGGTCTCTTCACCTATGTAAATCATGGTTTTAATTTCATAAGAAATTAATGAAATAATCCAAAGTATTGTTGCTCCACAATTTAGGTGATAAAAGTATAAAATCTTAATAAAATGAAGGGAAATCAACGCACGAACGGCACAATTCTTATGTATTTACATATCTAACACCTAAAGTTTATAAACCTATGAATGAAAAGGTGCATTTCAAAATAGTAGTACTTTTTGTGTTGTTAAAGATTTGAGTAGTATGCATGTGAATATCAAAGTATAGGTGTTAGGTATGTAAATATATAAGAATTGTGTGGTATTTATGTAAATGCCCCTAAAATAACAAATACTTGCCTTGAATGTTGGGGTTAGAAGACCATTCTCCAGGGTGAAAGGCTCTGGTACTAAGGTGACAGATTTTGCAAATTCAAAACCTCTCAGCTGTTCACATTTGGAGGACGGTTGTAAGAACATTATGTACCGATAATTAAAGTTTCACAAAGCAGCGAATCACTAATTAAGCAGGATGAAGAACCTGAGCTTGCTTTCCTATGTCATCCATCTCTGCGAGGACAGCAGCCCGCGCTCTAGGATCGGCACAGAGTTGTTTAAGGTTTTCATACTGTAAAAAAAAAAAAGAGGATTAATTTGTGAAGAGTGATTACTTTTCTGTGTTCCAACTATTGAATGCATTAGATTCCCTTCTATCTTATAATGTCTAAGTTTCTTTAAAGAGGGAAAAAAAAGCTAATGAAGATTGGACCGGACATTAAACAAGGGTTTTAAAGTTCAATAGTTCAATCGGAGTTGAATTGAATGACAAAATAAACATTTAAATTATTTTAATATAATTTAAATAATATAATAATGATGTCATAAAATTATTTTATCAATTTAATAAACAATATTTTAACTTAATATATTTCACTTATGGAGACAATTTTTTCTGTTTTTAATTTAAATATATTATTTTTAGCAATACGATCAAAATCAAAAGGTTAAAATCGGACAATATTAGAAACCGGTCAAATCATTTTTAAAAACCGGACCGGTCCGTTAGTTCAACCCTAATTCTGACAAGTACAACCCAGATTTTGTGCAACAATGATTTTAAGCTTGGATTGTACATGTCAAATGACCGGTTTATGGTTGAACCAGTTCTAACAGGTCGGTCCGATCAGGTTTTTAAAACAATGATGATCTTCAATTGTACTGAAGACTCTTAATTACAATTAAAGATGAATATAAGGTAATTGAGTAAAAATGCCATCAATAAAGAGGGAGAAGAAAATAAAAACTAAAGCAAGAACAATAAAGAATCCACCTTGATTCCTTCTGATGCAGCCCATGCGATCAAAATCTCAGGCTCAACTGCAACTATTGCAACTAGAGAAGAGCTAAAGCTGTCACCTGCATTCAAAAAGCATTATGAATGTGCATACTTTGCACAACCCACCTTAGCTTACTAATATAGAGTTTTGACTCTTCTTACAAATTTCAAGGGCTTTTGGCATTGCCTTTTTTCTTGGAAAATAGTAGGGGCATTTACAAACATATCACCCAAATCTTGCACATCATATAAACAATACCACCATTTCAACTTTTAAAAAGTAAAATGCACCTTTTCATGTATAGGTAAGGCAGCATCCATGTAAAAATTGAAGTATAGGTGTTAAATATGTAAACACGTATGAATTAATTGGAATGTATGCAAATCCTTCAAAATGCACACAAAGTTGAGGTTCAATATTAAGACAAAAGTATTTAAACTTACCGTAGATAAAGCACTGGGCAATAAATTTGCATTTTGCATATACATTTTCAATTTTCTCGGGAGCTATGTACTCCCCTTGAGCCAATTTAAAAATGTTCTTTTTCCTACAGTTTCAAAAAAAGGACACAGTCAGACAGCATTTATGAACTTTTTGTTATTCAAATAAAACATGGACTTGTAGGCATGCATCAAGCAGAGATGTAGAAATAACAATTTAAAAAGATGATTAATTACTAATCATGTAAATTTTCAAAGTTTTGCATGCATTTTTTAAAACATGGAGAGAAAGGAGTCATCTTGGATATATTCCACAAATAAGATTAAGAAAAGCAACTATGCACCTTTCACACATTAATTATCCACAATAAATTTGATTATTTTCTAGATAGACATGTCATAGGATCAGCAAAGCTTCAAAAAATGGGATAAGCTCCAAGATAACAAATCCGTAAGCATTTATAAATTATTGATTTTTGCATGATTGATTTATAAATTTATACATGGATTAATAAACATTCACATGGCTCACCGCCAAAATATCTGTAATCACAAATTAACACTACATCAATTCTTTCAGTGTAGGAGAGTGGGCCTAAGCATTAAAAGAGAATAACCAAATCTTGGCATAGTTTCAAGTTCATTGCATGGATCAAAAGATCTAGCATTTTTTGAAGTTCATTGTGTTTCTGGATTTGAGAAGATAAAAGCTTTGGATGCTTTGAAGCACCGTCAATGTTTAAAAGCATACAACTTTCCTAGAAATAATTCAAATCCTTCGAATTTCAAGAAGTATTATGGTTAGAACGACTTTAAACTACATCAATCCAATCTAAGTGGAGTTCTTAATACTTTTTTTTTTGTTTGTTTGGAAAAACATGTTAAAGCGAACAAGTTAAACGGAGAATAATTTATAATTGGAAGTTTTCAATAAAAATATTGGCAAACCTGGTGAATATAGTATAAATTTACCCTTACATTCTTACAGCTAGCCATTTCTCACCTTTGATTTCCTGGATAAAACATGCAAAAAGAAAAATAAAATAAAATAAACAATTTAAAAAGAGGCATTAACATTGGCACTAACCCCCATCTTGTCCTCATTTTCAAATAATTCTTGTTGAGTGTTATATTATGTATCAAGCCTATTTACACAACTTTGAAGTTATCTTTAATTTTTTAAAAATAATTTTATTTATGTGTTGTTTTTTATCCTTCTACATGCCAACATCACCAAGGTCTTTAATAGGCAACTCTAAACGTTTATCTTAGCATATAGTAGTTATAAATCACTTCTAGATTTGCCACATGTATCTTAACATTAATTGAATAATGTTAACGAATCTTTAGACACTTACATGCCTTGACAAATATGGAAATGGTGTTCGTGGTGTCATGTGGTGTTGCAGACTAACAATCCCCACCCGGCTTTGTATATATTAAAGAGATTCTGATATGGTTATTTTGAGATAGATTAATAAATTAGATGGCATATTATTTGGAGCTTTCACCCCCAATAAAAGTTCCTGATTTGAATTGAGTTTCTCATGCATGCAAGTCCCTATGGTTGATTACTCATCTCAATTAAAAGAGAAATTTTTTTATTAAGCTTAGACTATAAACTCTATGATGCTTTACTTTTAGTAGCAATAATTTGGATTAGAAAAGAAAGTATCTACTACCAGCCCAAAGCAAATGATAAGGTAATGATGACAAACAATCTCATGATTCTATCTTTTTTGAATGTTATGGACTTAAGTATATACTTAGTCAATAGAGATAGTCAAATCCAGTTTGATCGAATGATCTTCATAATTATGGGTTGTCATCCAAAATGACCTCATCGACTTGAGAAAATAGCTTGTCAAAGAGAACGAATTTACCTACTCTTGGTTATCAGAAGGCATCGTGCTCTATCAAATGCCTTGCGAATAAAAACATTTAAGCTCAGCTACTAGGAAACATTTGAGTTTAGGCTGTAATTGTCATATGATAATGCCATGACACAATCAAACTTCCACCCAACCAAAGGACGTGATGTTCATCTTAGCATAAGATTTTTGAATGTGATTATATAAACTTGATATAAATCAACTTTTTGTAAGCTTTAGGCAAACATAAAATTGTCCTCTTTTAAAAGATTGATGCGAAATATGGCTGCTCTCAGCATGAAACAACTAAGTTTTTGGTTGACTTCCAGTTAATATATATATATAGGGGCATTTACAAGTATATATATATATATATATATATCTGTGCGTGTGTGTGCGCACGCGTTGTTTCGCCAGGGTTTCGCTCGATGGAGAAACCCATTGTCGACTCCTACGCGCCATTGTTTCTTTTTACCCAACGACGAAGGGACTTCTAGCTTCTGCGGTTTCGTCGTCTCTCCTTAGCGCCATCCAGCTTCTGTGTGGATCTCGTCGAGCTGCAACTGTTCCGCGGCTCGTCATTTTCTGCCCTGTGCATGTGTGTGGACATCGTCGAGTTGTGACTGTTCCGCGGCTTCTACAACCGTGGTTTCGCTCGGACCTCTTCGGCTCGTCGTTTTTTCCCTCTGCCTGACTTGGTAGGGCTTCTCCTTGCTGTGATAGAGCTTCCTTCTTCTTCGGTTCAACCTGACAAAGCCTCATTTGCCCACGTGGTGGGTAATCCTCAGGGGGAGATGACAGTTGTCTTCCCCTCAAGTTATAAGGAGCATCGTGATAGCACAGGTGACTGCCCCTTTATTAAGAATGCAAGCAGAAAAAGTGAGAAAATGATTTTTTTCTCTAAATTAGAAATTTCATCCCTAACTGACAAATTAAAGATTGTTTTTATTGGAAAATTTCAATGGGGACACCCATCTATGAATGTTATCAGGAAAAATTTTGATTATCTCAAATTAGCAGGAAAGTAGAAAGTGGAGCTCATGGATGAGAGACACGTATTGATTCAATTAACCGTGCCTAAAGACTACACTCGGATTGGATTTTCTCCAAAAAATATAAGACTACACTCGGATTTTCTCCAAAAAATATCTTAACATTGTTGGTAAACCAATGAAGCTACTCAAGTGGTCTCCAGAAGGAAGAAGAAGAATGAAGGTCTACTTGAGTTAAAGAATCTAACGGATGATATTTTACCATTGGGTGAACCCTAGCACCAGTTACGGCTTAGTTGATTCCTCTTGGGCATCTTCGTGCTCGACTCCGTTCGTCTCTCCCGCTTCTTCTCCGGCTCTAAGACGAGTCTCGTCTCCCGTCTTCCTGTCTCGCAAGCTTTCCTGGCTAGGGATTTCCAGGCTCTGCGACTCCTCTGCAACCCGTCTTGCGGGTACCGCTCGCGTGATCTATAGTTGTCTCGTGGGTACAACTCGCTATTTCTACAGCTTATCTATGTTCGTCCCGTCTCACAGCGTCCTCCCTTTTTTAGTTTCGCCTATTTCGACACGATTTTTTTCCTCGTCTGCTTCTTCTCAGAACGCTGCACCTATCTTTGAGAATGACTTCGGACAAATCGTATGCAGCTGCCCTTGCCGGGGTCCACGCCTCAGGCACACTAAAATAATCATCTTTCCCTCCTTCGTTTGAATGAGTGGAGGACATCAAAAAACCTGGTAAGAAGAATGAGAAGTCTGCCACCTTTTTTATAGAAGCTGAAGGCATTCAACTTGCTTCCTCCTGTCGTCTGAATTTAATTGGAAAATTTCTATATGGTCATTCGAAAATGGAGCTCATTCGCAAATAATTTGAACTTATGAACCTTGTTGGAGAATGAAAAATTGGACTATTAGATGGGAGACACATTCTTATTCAAATTAGTACTGAAAAAGATTACATGCGCTTATTTGTTAGAAGGATAATATAGATTGATAACAGAACAATGAAGATTCTGAAATAGTCTGTGGATTTTGACCCACAGACGAAACCACCAATCATAACCGCCAATCATTCCGGTTCGGATTCGTCTCCCTGGTCTGAAATTTCATTATTTTTATTAAAAAGTATTGTACTCTATTGCCTCAGCTTATGGGAAGCCACTCAAGACAAACATTCCTACTTTTAATCTATCCCGTCCTTCTGAAGTCAGAATACTTGTTGAAAGAGACATCACTTCACCCGCTTCTGAGAAAATCTGGTTGGACACACAACACCATGGATATTGGCAGAATGTAGACATTGAATATTTTTTCATCGTATTGTTCGAATTGTCGTATGTTCGGACACTCAAGTTCTTAATGTCACCATCTACACCCCCAACTTAGACCAGAAAAGCAAACTGCTCCGCTAGAGTCTGTGATTTCATCTCCTCCCTCCTCTTGATCAGCTCCCAGTTTTTGATACTGTTGATCATCAGAAGGATACCCCGGATGACGTCATTATCCCGCAGACAAAATGACAACTATTCAGTCTCCAGTTGTAGCTCCCCCGCCTTTGAAACCTCCTATCGTGGGGGAGAGGGAGTTTCTTCAGACCTCGTCTGCCCTAGAACCTATTACTGATAATATAGGTGGAAATACTTCTACTGTTTCGCTACCGCCTCATGAGGTCCAAAAAAATGTTAATATTATTCAGACTCATGAGGATCAAGACGTGCAACGACCTAAACCTGTTCGACCACCTTTGGAATCAAATGATCAGAAGAGTCAATCAACAGATGAAGAATGACAGGTCTACACATCCAGGAGAAAGCAGAAGAATGAAGATTTACTTGAGCTCAGGAATCTGATAGATGATACTTTGGTTACTACGGGCAATGATACCCACCTTACCAATTTGTTAGCCGACTCACTTCCGATAACTGGAGGCAGAAGGACTAAAGTGGGACGTCCTAGCACTTTTGTGCCCTTTTGTGGCTTTTTGATTTTTTTATCTATGTATTTTTGCTTTATCTTGGTTTTGTGTATTGTATTGCATGAGTATATATATACATATATATATAATAGAAAAAGCAAAGCAAATATTATTACTAAAATCAAATAGGTAGTTACAACCAAACTCATTTGAAAGAGAAATTACAATAATCACGACCCAACAATACGTTGGAATAGAAAATAACAACAAACGAAAACAAAAGCTCAAACTAGGGTGGATCTCGGAGCAAAGGTGATGATTAACAAGGGATC